AAACCATTTCAGGTGACTACCTCTTGAAGCTCATGGAGAGAATGCCAAGAGTGTGCAAAGCAGTAATCAGAGCAAAGGGTGGCTATTTTGAAGAAACTAGAATATAAAACATGTTTTCAGTTATTTCACCTTTTTTTGTTAAGTACATAACTCCACATGTGTTCATTCATAGTTTTGATGCCTTCAGTGAGAATCTACAATGTAAATAGTCATGAAAATAAAGAAAACGCATTGAATGAGAAGGTGTGTCCAAACTTTTGGCCTGTACTGTATATCAGTGTTTTCCATCTATCACATACTACTACAGCCTTTATCACTTATACTATTGTTGCTACTTTTGTGATAATGACTGTTAAATACATTTTGTAACGTACTGTAATATTATACACACATACTGCTCAGTAATTGTAGCACATGTAATACGCAGCATGAATTCATACAAATGAAACCCCTTACCACTTTTCTGACTAGTCCTACTACTTCCCCTTCTTTTTACACATTTCAGTCAGCATTGCAGTGTAGCATCAGCCTTTCAAATAACCTTAAAATATTTGACATTATGAGTGTCATTTAACTTTTTAATTACATTCATACTAATCAAACCTATTCCCACTTTTCCAACTACTGACTACTTCTGAAACATTTCTCTTTAACTCGCTGCCAAGGCCACAATTTTCATCCTGCTTGTAACACTTTGATTTAGATTTAATATTTAGATTTAACACTTTAATTCAGATTTAATATTGACATTTCATATTTAGATTTACATGTAACATTTTGATTTAGATTAAATATTTAGATTTAACAGTGTTAAATCTAAATATTAAATCTAAATTAAAACATTAAATCTAAATGAAAGCGATAAATCCTAATATTCAGTCTAAATATTAAATCTAAATGGGCCTACATAATTTAATTTCCCCCCAAACATTTACCTTAATAAATAATAATAATAATAATAATAAGCATTCAGCATCTACACGCATGTTCCGCAGGAAATGTATTTTCTAGTTGACCATTGTATTTGTAGACCCCCTACGCTCGCCACATACACTTCTTCCGTTCATCCAGACTATTATTTTGAAAGCGATACCCGGAAGTCCTGTTGCAGTGATTGTAGCCTGATGCTTCATGCTAACAGGTGGGAATATGTCTGCTTCTCTCAGAGGGTTGAAACGCCGTTTTTCGGCTCTCTGCCCGGTGGGTTTTACTTCACAGCTTCGGAGGAATCCGCCGGTGAGATGTGCGGAGGGAGGTCGGCGGCTGTCACACACACAAACAGGTGCTGTGCTGAGCTAAATTTAGCAGGCTAATGTTAGCCTTCGCTTGTCAGTGGATCAGTGTGCTGATCGCTAAAAGAACATTGGTCTTGATAAAATAAGTCAGATATCAGTGAAACAGGACTTTATTTAATGTGTTCCTGCGGTGACAGGACTCACGTTTCTCACATTAATCGGTTACATAAGTTTCATTACCTGTGTTGGTCAAAGTCGAGCTCATTTAGATTTCTCTGATTTATTATTAACTTTATTTCTCTTATAATTTTGCAACGGAGGAACAAGTATTCACACCCTTTACGGCAGTAAAAGTACCACACGGTGAAATTACTCCACTGCAAGTAAAGTCCTGCATTCATATCCTACCTCAATATACTTAAATTAAAAGTCAGTACGTTGCAGTAAATTGTTCCCTGCTGTCAGTGTATTCCCTTTTTATCTGTAGTTTTTGGATAAATATTACTGCTGCATTAATGTATTGCATTTTACTGCTGTAGATGTTTAAAGGGATAATTCAGATTTTTTGAGGTGGGTTGTGTGATGTACTTTTCCGTAGACAGTGTATTACTAGGGATGTCCCGATCCAGCTTTTTCACTTCCGATCCGATACCGATATTACAGCCTTGAGTTTTGGCCGATACCGATCCGATCCAAGCACGTATTATACATATTCACTTATTTTGTTGTCAGTCATGTTAGAAAAGGTTTGATCAAGCAAAGAACAACTACTTAATCAGGTTAGTTAGAATGATCCACAACAGTAGGTATGAGAAACTGACCTGTTTATTGTTAACAGGGTTAAATAAACAAACTTTAAACTTGAACATTAACATTAAATAAAAAATATAGCTGGTTTGCTTTGGCTGCTTTGGCCCCTTAATAAATAGAAAATGAATCAACACAAGAAATCTTTAAAATGTCTAACAATGAAATTAAAATAGCAGCAAGACTCCACACACTTGTGCTTTGGCTCCCTAATAAATAAAAAAAAGATTAACACCACAAGACATTGTTGGCATTTAACAAACAATGCAGCCTTTCCTTTTCAGTTATTTTAATAGTGTTTTTGTAGTTCATCCATGGCTCCAATTTCACTAATTGTGACCAAAACAATGCCATCAGTGCTCTTTACTTAAACAGTAAGAGTGTAAACCAAATAAAAATATCACTCTCAAAAAACCAGAGCAGAAAACAAATAGTCAGTTAACTTAATTGACCGCTACTCTTCCTACCCTCTGTGTATCTGCCGTCTGCATGCTGGCCTGGTGCATTGATAGTAAGAGCTGGAGCGGATCGCTGGAATGGACTGCTTGAATCGCGGAGCGCTGGACTGGCCGGAAAACCTGGCACGGACTCTGTGAAAAACTGGATCAGAGTTCATGGATCGGCATTTTCCCATGCAGTCCAATCCGATGCTGATGCCTGTTTTTTGCTAATATCGGCGGCCGATACCGATCCGAATATTGGATCGGGACATCCCTATGTATTACAAACAGTAGATCAGCTGGCACGGCCCCAGTTTGGAGAAGCAGGCTGCATTCCAACCGATTCCAATATAGAAGCTCAGCATTGTACTTCTGCAGGCGGGGTCAGCAACAAAATGTATTTTAGCCACCTAAAAAATGTTCCGCCTAAAATCAATATTTGTTTAAGCATATGCTTTATTGAGAGTATTATTAACAGCATTAACTTTATGTCAGTTATTTTCAGCATTCTCTTCAAAGCCAAACCCCATCAAGAACAGCGATTTAAGAGCTCAGAACACAAGTGCTGCTGGTCTGCGGCTGCTAGTTAGTTTGTTTGTGTTGTGTCTCTTTGGCATTTATGAGGGTTAGCTCAGATTCAACAAAGTCACCCAATGACGACGAATCGATGAAAACTTAAAATGTTTTAAATGGAAATTCTTGACATTCGAGTCAACTTTGAGCCAAGTTGTTTATATATATATATATATATATATATGTATGTATATATATACAGTACAGGCCAAAAGTTTGGACACACCTTCTCATTCAGTGCGTTTTCTTTATTTTCATGACTATTTACATTGTAGTTTCTCACTGAAGGCATCAAAACTATGAATGAACACATGTGGAGTTATGTACTTAACAAAAAAAGGTGAAATAACTGAAAACATGTTTTATATTCTAATTTCTT